GGTTTATTTACACACTCTTTCATATTATTATTATTTTTTTTTTTTTTTTAAACACATACCTGTACGCATATACCTATATATGTGTATGCACAATGTACAAGACAGATATTACATATACATACACTTATATATATATTTCCCGAACCAACGGTTTAATCGGTCGGCTGCGTGCCCATGTGCGTCCCGCTGTTTCGTGTTATTGAAGCCCCCCATCGAGTTTGGCAACGAACACCACCAGCCCCGGCACAGGCGAGCATCGTCGTAGCTCGAGAGAGAAGTGGTGACGGGGAGAGAGAGAGATAAACCAGCAGTGCCGCATTTATTATTATAATACTCTATTGCGCACGACGCGTGCATTTTTATACGTCACTAAATACTTTGTGTCGGACGCACAACGAAGATGACTGCTGGTTATTTCTATAATGTAATTGTTGCGGTAGGAACAATTTTTTTTTTTTTTTGGAGTTTTTCTCTGCGTCGACTCAAACGGCCGTTGTCGGAGATTCTTGTATAGAACAGACTCGCGCGCACACAATATAACATCGTGGAGGAACGCTCAAGGTGTGCGTGAGCCCGTGTGTGCGTGTGTCTGTGCGAGCATCGTATTCACATACAAAAACCTTTTTGTCCCCTAGTCGTTGTTCGCATGCAGTTCTCTCGGTGCAGAACCGTTTCAAAAGTAATTCGACCAAAAAAATAAATTCTTTGGCCAAACAACGGTACCACCTTCTTTTTATCGTTTATTTTTCTCCCCTCGATATTTGATATGTCTAAAAATTACATTTACAACACTAGGGATGTATTTCACGAGATTCGTTTATCATTCTATCATTATTTTCCGTCGGAAAGAAGAAACCCAGAAACGGAGAAGAAATAAGATTATTAATTTTATTTAAACTAATAATAATCAGAAACAATAGGCGGTAGATTATCTCACAGCCAGCCAGCTGTGTTCACGACAAGCTTATACACACACACACACACACACACACACGTACTCGCGCGCACGCACATGCTACACAACAAAAATGGCCGCGTCGCCTCGGGGTCATTCCACATACACACATACACAAACTCACAAACATACATACAAATATACATACATACATACATACATACATACATACATACATACTTACATACTCACACAAGATAGTTGTAGCTGCTGCATTATCATTTAAGCACCCATCATCATCATCATCACGATTGTGTTTAAGAATATACAGGTATACGATATGAATGTGTGTGTGTGTGTATGTGTGTGTAAATGTATATAGTATTTATATGTATGGCACTAACGAAGAGAAGTTATTACTGTTGAATAATATTCTGCACGAAAAGATTGAAACTTCATAACAAAACCTACACCGAATAAAGATGATGTTATTTTTGAATTTTATTAAATTACATTTTATTGTTGTAATTATACTTTATAAGATGATAAAAATTAATAACGACTGCAAACATTGAAGTATATAACGATAAGATATTTTATCAAATATAAAATAATATGCTTTATTTACGTTCGTCTTTTAACAGAATCATCCATAAAAAAATAATGACGATGATTACCATTGTTATTAGATTAATGTTTTGTTTACATGAATCATTTTGGTTTCACAAAAACAACGGTGATAAAATGAAGAACAATGAAGAGAAAAAGGGGTAAAACTTTAAGTGCATGAAATAAAAAAGAATCATCCGAATCCTTTTGTTTTCGTTATTATAATAGGTATATAAGAAAACAAAAAAACTTGCATTGTACAAACTGGTGTATAATGAAAATATCGACGAATTTCAATGTCATTAAACATTGAATTACGTTATAAAGAGTAAATTATAAAAAAATAATATTTAACGTGTGACTTTTTTGTTTATTTTTTGAATACTACAATGAAACTTTTCTAATCATATTTAAAAAACATAAAATAAAGTGAAGGAATATTATTCATCACATTCAAATAAATAATATAATATTAAACCAAAAATGTGCAGAGGTAGGTTAGGTATACAAAATAATAACAAAAGGCAAGACATTTTTGTCGAAAGGTAAGCAAGCAGCTCTACCTTCACCTTATGTTCGTGTGTGTGTGTGTGTGTGTGTGTGTGTGTGTATGTAAGTGTATGGTATGTGTATGAGAGAAATAGAGTGATAGAGTGCGTATGCATTCGTTTATGTGTATATATATGCGTCTTTCTCTAATGAATACACGTCATAACAATAGGGTCTCCTCCACTAGGTAAAAATGTTCTTTTCATACAATATAATATAATAGTGGAGCCATTGCATTGTCAGATAACCTTATATATCATTAAGAATAATAAAATATAATATTCAAACCGGTAGGTACAATATATATAGTTCCATTTAAAGAAACGTAATTTTTTTTTCACAATATTGTAGTTTTCTAACGAAGAAATTTATTTGAAATAAAATAAATTACTATACATTATAATACACATCAATATAACATAGTAATTTATATTATTGTTAAATATTTGTTTTAATGTGTTTGTTATGAATGTTTCATCTTAATATATAATAATCAGTATAAAGAATAAAAGGTGTCATTTCCCCGCTGTTTTTCATTCTGAAATCGCATCCCAAGGGGAACATTTGACGGCAAGAAAAGATGTTGATAGAGGAGGAATAAAACGACAATAATAAAATGAAAAAAACGAAAGACCGGCGAAATAAGCTCAAGCGAAACATTATTTTTCCCCTTTTGAAAAAAAAAACGTGTGATAAGACTTAGTGACTTTAGGGGGAGGTAAAAGTAATTAGATCACAAATTTCAAGAAAAACGTGGTGGTTATTTTCCACCCGTCCGTCTATGATCTCACGTGGCCGCCGCCACTACTACCTCGAATTCTCATTTAATCCCGCGGGAGACAAGTGACAGGGGTGGCTGTGTAGTAAAAATACTTATCAGTAAATAAAGAAAAAAAGAGGCCAACATAATTTTACCATTGCAGCAAATATCATTATATTACTTTGTTATTATTATTATTATTTTTTTTTTTTTTGTTTCTCTGTGTGAGTAACGATAGCTTCACTAAAAGTAAAAAGTGAAAAAAGAAACAAATCAATCAAAGAAGTAAATTTAACAGTTTTTTCTTTTGAAAAACGTATTTCTTATCGGTGCGAATTATGTGTACAAACAATTAATATCACATACTTTTAGCCCTTAACAGTATTCAACAACTGAGAGACAGCAACATTTTTAACTTCTAACACGTCATAACTCTGCGTATATTATGTTTTATATTAAAAAAAAATATATATATATCGAACTTGATCATAATAAAATAAATTTTCAGCATAATACACCAAGAGGATTCCTATACATGTGCAACGAAGACAAAACTTGAAATTATGAAGGCGTCAATCCTACCACTTCCATCGTCGCCATAAACTGGCGGCAATACTAGTATTAAGACAGCAACCGAACAGAGTAAGCAAGGAGAAAACCTTTTAAGAAGATGGAAAAGTTTGTTTTCCCACTGCGGCGTCTGAAAGTTTCCACCACCACCTTCCTCCTTTTCTACCAATATCAAACAGCAACATGTGAAATACTCGCAAACCACCCCTTGTTCCTGTTAAAAACAGCCACTAAGATGAGTTTAAGTTAAACCCTTAATATTACAACGAAATTATTTTACGCTTTTCTGCTTTTAGGTAGACAGTAGTACTAGAATTGTTAATATTTCAACAGCGATGTGTCGGAACGTGTTAAACGGCTCAATGCTCAAATCTAAACATAAAACGCGATTTACTTAAATACCGAACGATATTATACCATTGTTATTTTAATTTGTTGTTCTTTTTTTCGAAGAAAAAAACAATGCACACAAATATACATTAGTAGTTTGTTAAAATTATAAATATGTATTATTTATTTGAATAATTATTTTTCATTTCATTTTCTTTTTTGCATATCAAATTTCCGGTTACATTAACTCACTAATAAGAAATATGACTATTTAAAATACTCCAAATTTTTAAATTAAAGTAAATACTAATTTTTTTTAACCAGACTAAGGAATAATTGTTGAGTATAGTTTTTAAATTATAATTTTAATAATTTTAAACAAACTTTAGTAATAAGTACCTAATCAAAATTTAATTTGGAATGCATAATTCTTTGACTGACTAAAATTGAAACTTATAAAATTATCATTGTTATTAAATCTATAAATTTATAAACATTAATATAAATATAAATTTATAATATTATATTAATATTATTAAATATTAAATATAAATATTTATATTTATATTATTTATATTATAAATTATATATTATTACATAAATTTATATTAGCAAAATATATGTTTAATATATGTAAAATATTTACATAACATATGAAATACATTTTTTATTCCTAATAGCCCATAAAGTGTTTTAAACAATTTTAACAAAAAAATCTATATTCGATGTTTTAATAAGAAATATTTGTATATTTTGTCTTGTAAAATATACCTCCGGAACATTATGAGTTTTTATTTTTATAATAATGTTATAGGATAGAAAAGAAGATACTATCATTTCTTTCACAATGTATTTTCAATTTTTTTAACTAATTTAACTGACACATTAATTTATCAATTATTTTAATATATTTCAAAAGTAACGCGATGAACGACAGCATATTGAAATAACATCAATATCATAACTATGGTTGACGATTGAAATAAACAGTAATAATATTATAATTCTGGTCGTAGGGATCGTCCCCATCCATAACAACGACAAGGACATACGCAGGACAAACACTCAAGATGATGGCACTTGAACAGCGTATGTGTCCAGGCTCAAGTGACATACACGCGTAGGTAAACATGTTACTACAATAATGTTTCATATAGGGGTTCGAAAACTCTTTAGATACGGGATAAGAACGTCATGGCGCCTACCTCGAATATTATTTATACGTCTACTAACTAATTATTTTTAACTGTTAAAACAAAAAATATGTATAAACTATTTATCACTTACCAGGATCGCCGTGGTCGAGACTTTGTTGCGAGCCCGGTTGCTGTGACATCGGTCCAGGTGTACCTCCGGAACCGGGAGATCGGTCATCATTCCCATGTCCACCATACGATAATGAAGATGAAGGTGGTCTCTGAAATTAATCATTAAAAAATACATTTGAAATGCAATATTATTGTACAACGGTGAATTTTGAAACAAATATTTATAATCAATGGGGACGAGACAAATTTTAACCGTGCTACGGAGTAATGCATTTTTCGAAGAAAGAAAACCACTAACAAATGTATGTATACAAAAAACCGCCACCGTTGCAATATAATATTTAGTTTCTCGGTTTCCCATGGGATCAAATACGACGATCTTTTCTTCTTCCTATACTTTTACTACTTAATCGTATGATAGTACCACTGCTGCAACTGCCGCCCCAAATGTAACCTTTTTTCTGCTTCCCTTACTACATTTCGTAATGTTTCCTCACCGTTTTAGGGAATACCATCCTCTAAGGGATAATATTCTCCTACCCTGTCTTACATACGTGCAACGTCCTAGTGACCCTAAAATGTCAATAATTCTTCATTTTTTATGTATATATATCATTTGATTAAATATTAATAATCGTTATAATAGCAAGCTAAAGTTAAATTATAAAATATACTGAACTGTTCATAAAGAATCTTTCCCCCTCTAAAAAAAAAAAATATAATGTAATATTTACAGTAATTATATTAAAATTATAATAAATAATATTTTTGACTATAGGCACAGCATATTATAATTTATTATCTTATCATAGTCAAATATTTGTTATAATGTGTACGAGTGTTTATTGTAAGCTAACGACCCACTACTATAAATTAAATGTTGCAGGGAAAAAGGTATTATAACACCCAAAGCAATCATCATAAAATAAATAATAATTTTTTTGTATTTACCCTGTACACAGATAAAACAAAAAAAAAAATCCGTCCGTTTACCTCGTCGCTACTGCTGTCGTTGTAAGGATATTGTTTTATTTTTTGTCATGATGTTATTTTTTGATAACTCAGCGTGTGCGATGACAACAACCACATATAAATAATATTTTATTTTTCAACACGGATAATGCAGGTACACTTGGTAGGTGTAAAGATACCATTGCTAGGGAAATCACACGAAATCCGGTTTTCATCGGTTAGTGTTTTTAAGTTTCGTATAATGGATTTTGCATGTACTCATGGATCTCCATCGTCGTCCTGATCGAACCTGGCTGGTCAAAGATTAAGAAAAAGGTGGGCGCGATTGGGAAAAAAAATGACATCCATCGCGTTAATGCATGTTGAAAAACAAAAGAAGAGTACAGTACGTGTTTTATACCGATTAAAGCCAATCATTATACATATCAATGATGTTGAAATAACTATTATAATATTATAACGCAGTGTAACATAGAGAAAACCCGTTCGAACGAATCCATTACTCGACGACAAACATTAACAATAATTAATAAATATTAATATTTTCTTTACACTAACACGGTGTTAAACGTCAGATTTCGTTACCATTGTTACACATACGAATCGGCACATGTGCATCATAGACGCACGCGCGCTTGTTTTAGTACAATACAATATTATAATAATCTCGCATTGATTTCGAGTGGCCGTTGGAAACGCACCGCCACCGCCGCCTCCGAGGCGTATAAGTGTATGTACAATTATATGCACACACACACACACACACACACACACACACATTCCATACTATACCTTCACGACACTACTAAATAACAAGTGATTTTCATTAGTCTTTCGGGTGAAGTTAAACGGCTCCGATGCCGCATAAATAAACACGTATAAACTATAATTATATATGTTGTTATAAAAACGTAGTAATACTTATACTACTTGTACCATACGAATATGGTAACACGGGACCTCGTGCGCGCGCGTGTGCGTGTGTGGGCGCGCGTGGAAACATTTGCGTATCCTTCTTAGCACTTTGCGGTGTGACGTTAAGTGAAGACCAGGCGAGCACGGGGATAAGAGGATGCCGTAAAGGCGGAAACGGCAACGCGCGCGCACACATGTCGATAGATTTTAACACGCGGGGTGGTGTTCAGCACACCCGTATACAAAACGTGCAGTAATTTCTTGTAACGCTGACATAACCGTCGAGCGTTTCCGTTACACATATGTATGTACCGCGCCAAATATATATATATACGAGTGTATTTTATTTTATTTTTTTCAAAAAATAACGAGAACCACATAACGTATATATCGGTTTCCTACCGATTTTCTATATACATATATAAATACGTGTCTGCGCGTGTGCACATAATCATATTGTACACCGTGTTCGTGAGTGCGCATAGAATATCGGTCATTTTAAAGGGTTAATCTAAACGAAATCCCAGGTGTATATTTACTTCCGTCATATTTTAAGTATTATAAATATGTACAAAGAACGAATTTGCCACGACTGCCACCGATGCCGACGACGACGAGAATTGTTTTTTTTTTTTTTTTTTTTTTTTTTTATCGTACAGGACGGCACAGGATTGTGAAAAACGAAAGGGTCTATCCGCCAACAGTGTAGACTCTGTTTCCGGTCTTTTCATAAACCCTCCCACACATGCACGCTTTAGGCAAATAATATGATATATTAAAAAGAAAAAACCGCAGGATTATATTATTTTCGATTGACGACAGGAACTGTAAAAACATATTTCATTTTATACATACTATACCATTGTCTTTGTGCGAGTTGTCGGTTCACCGAGACCATTGTTAGTTTTTTCGTTTCCACATTTTTTTTTTATTTTATTATTATTCCATAAACCACTTTTGTCTAAGCTAGACTAACTACTGCAGCAATTTTATTATAATATATGAAATTTGTACTTTATAAGGACACAACCGGTTTGAAACAAGCAATATCCACGGTACAACCAGAATTTAAATGCTTCGCTTGAATTTTTTTTTACTTTATATAGATATTTTTTAAAGTAAATAATATGAACGCGCAAATTACGACCATGCATTCAAGAGAATTTTACCCACGTATTGTGTTCACATAAAAATAATACAGCAGAGTTTTTTTTTTCCGCTATTGCTCTCATTTCCATAAGTCTCAATTAGTGTTTACAAAGAGTTCGGTAATTTACGTAGAGCACAAATTATGCGAGAAATGGCCTATACATTTGCCGTAATTGTTTGAAGTATACACTGTATATTACGCGTCGATTGTTTTAGCGCGAAATATGCGAAACGGATTACGAGACACAGTTTGAAACGAAATATCCAATATGTTTCATACCGTATGCGTTTCGTTCAACTCTTTGTGAGAAAGTGAAAACAATTAAAATCTCAATGGAAAAATAATCGTTTTCTAATAAACTCGTTGCTCTGTTTGGAGTTCGAATTTTACACGAGATATATTCCTTTTTGAACGGTGACCGTTTGACCAAGGTCAAAATCTCGTCCAACTCTGACGTATCGCAATCGCAGTAATGTGTCGATAATTTTTTCGAATTCAAACAACACGAGTGCACATGGTTCTATCGCACGACTGATCTACTCGATTTTCTACCGGAAACGTCGACTATCGAAAACCAACGCCAAACACTATACACGCGGAACGCGCGCGTACGACTTGTATTCATAAGACACGTCTTATCAAGAGTCACCGCGATACGGGGAAGGGGGAAAAAAAAAATAAAAAAAAGCGTAAAAACGCGAGAATCGTAGAGAATACAATCATGTTTCACTCGTCCTGTACGTATACAACATATACATCCCGTTTTATCCTTCGTCGCTGTACACTTTGACAACTCAATTCTGCCGTGTACACATGCCCTGCGCGCACAAGCTGGTCTCACGGGTATTGCGACTGCTATGAAAATTTTATGTGTTCGGTGGTCTGCTGCTGCTGCGGTACGTACCGGCTTCGCATCTAACCAGGACATCTCCGTCGTGGTCGCGTAGTCGTATACATTTTTCATGGTCGTTCGGTATTCCGTTTTTTCCGAAGCCGCCACTGCCGGTTGTTGCCGAATTAATGATTGACACTCGACGCCGTACACGACACGACGCCGCCGTACATGACTGCTATCGTTTTCTCTTCTTTATTTCGTTTTCCCTCGCTCTCGGTTTCCTATACACCTACGTGTATACCTGTGCATACGCATCAGATATCTTTCTCAGTGGGAGGGGGGGGGCGCGTGTCCGCATGAATTATTTAGTGCTTGCGGCAGTAGTGAAATTCCACTCGGCCCGTGATACGTAATCGAAACGGAGAACCCCGAAGGGGTGCCGCCTAATAGTTTGATAAACACGTCATGTACTCGCGCTGCGGTAACACACATACCAACTCCGTACCCAGCAAAATGTTTTTTGTTTCTTTTTTTATTCCGACCCTGCAGTAACACACGTCTCGTCTCTTGCTGTTCGTTGCGTCTCGCTTGCGCTGCAGAATCGACTCTAAATAAATTATACCGCGTCTACACGCCCGCAATTTTCTTCTTTTAATACATCGTTGAATAACCGAAACTCCCTCCCCCCCCACCAGATACGAAGCGCTCGGCCGAAGACGTAGCAAATTTTATCGCGACCGTGCGTTACTACGTGCCCTTCGGGAAAACGAACAGACGTTTCTGCGACTACGAAAACACGGTTACTACATACATAATATAGAGATTGATTTATAAATTGAATTCCAGAGTAATTTCTTTTTGTTTGTTTGTTTTTTTTTTTCCAGGGGATGAATTATAATAATATAATGAACGTGGAAATTATCGAGTGAAATATAATACAACGGCGGTGTCATAAACAACAACAACAACAACAACAATAACAGAGGATAAAAAACAAAAAAAAAAAAAAAAAAAACAAAATAAATAAAATATCGTTCGTGGACGTACAACGCGGCGCGCGCGTGTAGTAGTAGGCATGGGCGGAGGGTTGGCCGACCGACCGGCGCGTGTCCACCGTCACCGCTGTCAGTTGCAGAGCAGGCAGACACGTCCGTCGCAGACGCAGCAGCCGCGGCGGCGGAAAATAAATAATAATACAAATAATTCTTCGGCTACACGCGCACGCGCGTGCCACGTACAACGTTTTACTTCCTGCCTCCCCGCGAGAGCGATGTTTT